TTACAACCCTTTCTCAACTCTAAAACTCCAAAACACAACCCTCGACGAACAAAGCCGCTGCGCGGAGAAACAAGTTGAACGCGGCACTGCCAGGAATGTGGTGGGAATCAAACTCGGAACTTCTCGCTTATGAGGCGAGCGCTCTACCACTACACCACTACCAAATTTATAAATATAAGAATATAAAGAGATATGCATAATATAAAGATATGGCATGATTGTTTAAAGATAATATAAAGATATGGCATGATTGTTTATAATTTAAAAAGGTGCGGGGGTAACATCCCGCACCTTTTTTGATACACACTAAGAACATCATTAAAAAAGGAAATAAAAAGTATAAAACATAGAGAAAAAGCAGATTTTTACTTGAAAAAAAAGCAACAAATTATTAATTATAAGCAAAATAATGCATCCAGTGGTCCAAATCACATTTCAGAAGACCGATAGTATATCGCTTTAAGTGTCATTCTTAAGCGACAATAAATAATAGCTTTGTATTGAAATTGGATCTCCTTGTATTTTATATACATAAATCTCTTTAAGTTTGACTGTAAATATTAAAAGAAATGATTTTTAGAGTTGTTTATGATACAATGGAGGACTATTCTAAACTTTTAGGGCCCCCCAAAAATGCTGTATCAAGTTAACCCATACTTGCTAATAAAAAACAATTTCTTCAATTTTAGTATCAACTTGCTTTTTCAATAATTTTGTTTAATTAAGTAAAGAGCCTAAGGATTGCAGCTTACAAAATAATGTAACTTACTGAAAGAAACATTGAATAAGAAACCTTAAAACTTATGAGCTTTAAAAGCTAATAAATCACTTTATCATTAAAAAAAAGTTGCAGTCTTGCAGACCTAATGATGTCAAATTAATAATTTTTTATAATTTTTTTTTTCAAAACATAGCTCTAGTAGTAACTGTTTCACAATATGAAAATGGTTGTCACAACTTATAAGATGTCTTCACAATTACAATGTTTCATGGTGCCCCACTCTCTCCTATACTTCTTGTCAATTAAAAAACTAGATGTTTAACAAAGTTTTTTAAAACTTTACTTTCTATATAGTTATATATTGCCAAAAAGCAAGTAAACTGTGTTTAAAGAAGGTAAATACAGAATGATTATAAACTCTGTCGTACAAATTTATTTTTCAAAAAAAAATCTACACTAATTTCATGTCACATACAAGCCTATTAGAGCATATACAATAGCACACAAGTCTATTAGAGCAAAAACTCTTTTAAATATGCATACTGAAACATTTATTGTACACAATCTTATTTCATTCAGCAGATTTAAACAATACTACAGTGGTTTCTGCAAAACAAGTTCCACATAATATAAATTGTTAGGGCTTGAATATCGATAAACACTTTTGTAAAAAATGTTTTATTTATGCCAAAAAATAATTTATTTACTAAAACCATAACTTTAGTTTAAAAAGTATATTGTTTTCAAAATCAGCGTTTTACTCCATTTCTTTTAATTAAGAAACATAAACACTTTTTTTTATTAGTTTAAGAAAATACTCAATAATGAAGAATTCTCGAGGAACCTTAATAAATCATCTAAACTAAAAGTATTTTTCTTACTTTCCTGTTTCTTTTTTCTAAGAAAAGTAGTTTTATCCTAGGATAATCTTTTAAAGATAAAAGTTCTAAATTAAAAATGTATTACTACCTCTTTTAAAATTACATTTTGTGCTATCTCTAAGAAAAAACATTTTCATCGACGTATTTTCGACAGCTAATAAATGAATTGTTGATGGCAACAATCAATGATTAATAGAAAAATCAAGTTATTGATGTTAAAAACGATCAAAAAACAAATACAAAAATAACGTCCACGTTATTGTGCATAATAGTTAGGCTCCTATTATTTTATATATATATATATATATATATATATATATATATATATATATATATATATATATATATATATATATATATATATATATATATATATATATATATATATATATATATATATATATATATATATGACCTTAACAAAGCCACTAACTTAAATAATATAATTTTTGCTGATGAGACAAATCTATTTAAATCTCATGAAAACATAAATACACTTTTTAATATGACACAAGAATTATATAAAGCTCATATTGGTGTAGAAAAAACAAACTGTCCTGAATATTGATAAAACAAAATGGATACTTTTTTTACCCAGTATCCAAGAAAAAAATGTTTGCCAAATACGTTGCTCGACCTCTTTACTGGTAATAAAATACTAACATGGAAATTCTTGAAATTTTTACAGACGAAAAGTTATCCTGGAAACAACAAATCAATAATATCTCCATTAAAGTTGCTAAAAGTATTGGAATTGTATATAAAGTTCGACATATATTAAATAAACAACAATTAAAACAACTATATTATTCCATTATCTACTGGCATTTAAATTATGCTAATATTGTATGGGGAAGCATTAGAAACACGCAGCTTGCTTAATTGAATTTGTAAATCGTTTTTCAAATTCAAAACCGCTTCTGAAAGGCTTAAGGTGGTTCATACCCTTAATTTTAGTCAAAAATCCAAAATAACTTTGGCTTTTTGTTATGCAAAATTTTATCATAAATTCAAATATATTCTTAGAATTTATAAAAATATTGAACATGTTGACAAAAATTCATTTTTATGCAACCCTATAAAAGCCACGCCCTTAGCAACATCATAGCAACGACTTATTAATATTGAAATAAATTACATTACAAGCTTGAAAACTTGCATTATCAAGTTGGAAAAAGTGTTATTGAGGCTCAAAAAGCAAGACAATAGTTATTTAAAGTCCATACTCTAAAATAAAATTTTTGCCACATGAAATTAGAGTTGTTTAATTTGCAGTCTTTACAGTTGCCAAGTGATTTTAATTTGTTTTTTGCTATTGTTTTTATATATTCCAAATAAAAATAAATCAAGGGTGTTTAATTTTAGAGGAAATTAACTAATGGCTAGATCAACATAAAAGAAAGTTCTGTGGTAACTAACACACTGCAGACCTTCCAAAAAAAATTCTTTTTTATAATAATGCTACGTAAATGGACAATCTAAGGATAACATTAATGAATAAAAAGTGCACTAAAAGGGAAACTGAGAGAAGAAAGAAACTGAGAACCACTGAGAGTCAAACTGAGAATTTGTGGAGGAAGAAAAACAAAGTGAAACTATACCAGCCTATGCAGCTGAGGCTTATTAATTATTTTATTGCAGTTTTCTCTTTATTTTTTAGTTTTAACCTATTTCCTTTTTTTAGTTATTTTCAGTTTTATATTTTAAATAACTTTCGATAGTCTAAATGATTTGAATTTTTCAGGTTATAATTGTAGTGGTATTGTGAAGGTGTTGAAGCAGAACCGATGCAAAATTTTTTAAAATATAGAATTAATAGCTTTTTTTGTATACACCCCTATTGAATTTTTGCCTTTTTTTTTACAATTTTTGCAATAATTTTTGTAAAACAAGTAGGAAACTTTTGAATCTGCTTCAACTCCTGTGAAACTACCTAATAATGATAGCCTGAAAGTTTTAGATTCAAAAAGGAAATCTTTCTTACATAATCGCAGATTTAAATTTTGTCTTTTTAAGCATAAAAGTATGAACAAATGAGGCAAAAATATATACACGTTTTAATTTTTTATTTTGATGAAAATTCTTCATTGATTTATATAAGTTAATTTGAAAAACCACTTAAAATAACTAGTTTTCTTTGAATTTTTTTTAAGGGTATGAACCACCTTAAGTGTACGAACTAAATGTTTATAATATTTTATGTTTCATGTTTAAATGTAAAAATTATTTAACTCCTGATGTATTTATAAAACTTTGTAATGTAAAACCCATAAACAAATACATTTTTCGTTACGGAAAAAATTTCCAAGAATCTTTTTGCCAAACTATAAACAACTATTTATTTCTTATCGCAATCCTTATTTATGGAATAAAATAGTTTTGCTTAATTTTGATTTGTCTTTGAAATGGACTTTAACTTCTTTCAAACGAAAATTAATAAAAGTTATCTTTTCAACAGAAAATATTTTTCTTGTTTTTAGTTCTTTTGTGTCATATATTTTATCCAGTATATTTTAAATGCACATTTATTTATAGTTTATGTTGATTTATTTATTATTACTAATATTATTCTTATAATTATCATTACTATTATTATTATTATTATTATTATTATTATTATTATTATTATTATTATTATTATTATTATTATTATTTTATTATATTTGATATTGTAAAGAGCTTCATGATAAGATTGTATAATCTTCTGGAAGTCTTGCCGATTATATTTGTAATAAAGCTATTCTGTAATTGTAATTTTTTATTGAAGGCAAATGAATATTAAAAAAATAATAATAAAAAAGATTGTATATTATTAGTATGTTGTGAGGTTATATAATATATTTGTATAGTTGGTATTATTATGGAGGTAATTTTTTTTTGTATGTCAAAGGTGGGAGGGAGGGATTTTATTACCGCAATATTTTGGCAAAGTATCCATAATTGACATCCATGTTAAGACGTGAATGTTTACTGTTTGCACCATAATTGACAGTTTTCGCTTATCAATAAAATATCTTGAATTCGCACCTGCCCTCGTCTAGCCAAAAACTTACCTGAGCCGTTGCCTTTTTATTAGCATAAAATATACGATCGAATAATAACAACCAAAAACCTCTTACCCGTACTTGACTTTTATACTGTAATTCTAATGAATGAATCTGTTATTGTTTTTAATATTTTCAAAACTTTAAAAAACCAATAACAATACGTTTTCAATTAAAATAACGTAACGCTTCCTAATGACTACTACTTCATAAAAAACTAATTTTTGTTTTATTTTATTAAACGTTTTTAGAGATTTGCTTTTACTGATGTCGATTTATGTGCAAATTTGAATTAAAGTTAAGTTTTGAATCTTAGTTTTTCGGAAGCTGACTTGGTGCGTAAAATGTTTCTTCGAATGTTTTTTTTTTGTGTCTCGGAACAAGAATTTTGTCGTTCGCAGAGATGTAGCTTAAATTTATCGTCATAATTAATTTTAGAGTCAGCATTTTAATTTAAATTTTTAATTCATGGGTCTTATGCAGACTACAATTACCTTTTTATGTATTAATAAAATAAGTGGTATCTATTTCATGCACATTTTTCGTTTTCAACATTGCTAATTATCGAATATATATATTACGATACGCAATATAATTATTATGATTAGAGAGCATTTATCTGATCCTCTCTGGAGCAGCAGCACAAATAGAATGTCAAACAAAAGGTATTCATTTTATTGTTGTGTTAGTTTCCTTTGGTTGTCAATTTAGTTATATATTCTTTATATTACTTCACAAAGTTGCAGTCTTGAAAAAAGGAGTTTGTTTCAGTTACAACAGTAAATCTTTGTGATATAAAAATATATTTGTATCAGAAAATATTGATTATGATTGTAGAGTTTAATACCTATAGTTATAAAAAAATTGTATATATGCTGTAATTTTTATTCATAAAGTAATATACTTTTTGTTGTTTTATTTATCAGTTAACACTATACATAAGAGTGTTAATGAAGAGGCCTGAAACTCTTACTTAGCTATTTATATCTAGAGAAAACAGCAGCAAGGTTATAGAGTGAGAGGAATCAGATACTAATTTTATAAAGCACATATTTTAAATGACCTAGTACATTTTAAATATGTATCTTGTAAAACATGTTTAAATTTTTTAAAATGGGTTTCATTAAGACAATTTACTAAAAATATATCTAAATACTAGATGACATATTGCTATCTAAAAAAGGACTGTATATGTGTAATAAACTAAAAGGTTTTAAAGTTATGATTGATCTTCTTTTTACCTTGCTTAATTAGTATTTTTAAAGTTAAAATTACTTTGTAACCAGTAATTGTTAGGGAAGTTGTTGTTTAAAATTAATCTTAAGATTGATATTGTTTATGATTTGTGTTTTGAAGTTACGAGATTACGAGGTTACGAGAGGATTGTAACAACAATTTTTTTTGAAGAAAAACTTTAACTAACCTCATTGATTTTAGTGAATAAAGTAAAAAAAAAAGTCCCAATAAAATACATTTTATAGTAACATATACAGTATTTCTATATTAATATATGCAGTATTTCTATATTAATTTATAAAGCATGATTAGCTATATTAAAACAGGTGAAAACTGGTGGTTGGTGATTTAAAAGTATTGAAAGCTCATCTTAATAGTTTAAATTATTTTTTATATTTAAGTTCACAAGGATTTTTGAGATATTTTATGAGTATTTTAAAAGCAATACAATTATTAGTTTCTAAGTTATTTTCTTTTAAAATATCTCTATAGATGATTAGTATACAGAGAATATTAGTCTAAATCTCTCTTTAAATACAATTTTTTGCATTTAATATATTGGTAAATTAGAAGGTTACAAGATACAAGGTTACAAGATGCACTAAGTGTCATAGAGTCACAGCAATTGTTTAAATCGTGCTCAAACAAAAAGTTAAGTCATGAATGTAAGTTGCAAGTTTGTCTAGTTCATGTTGTTGTTTATATGATAATAAATTGCCTATAAGTGTTTAAAATGAATAAAATATCATTTCAGCTTATATATAACATATTTTCAATGGGAAATTGCAATCATTAAATATATCTAGTTAAGGTTAAATTATTTATGATTTTAAGCAGTTAAATTTGTTACTGTTATAAGCTTCTAAAATTTGTTAAAATATTTTGATAACAAATATTTTAGTTTGTATATCTATTAAGATGAGTTGTAACAGTTTAAAAAGATTAACTTAGTTTATGAAAGTTGGCATAAAAAAGAAAATAAAAATATAGAAAAAGAGTATCAAACCTCTTCATTTAAAAGAAAAAAGGTTATTGATAAAAATAAAACTACAAAAGTATATTTTTTTAATGCTTAAAAATAGTATTTTACTCCTCAGGATCCTTTCAAGCATTTGTAAACAGTAAATTTTATTGAAACAGGTTTGTTTGTAAACAGTAATTTTATTAAAGCATGTGAATTAAAAATTAAAAAAAAAGATTGTAATTAATTTTTTTTTCTTTAAATTAAAAAACCTGTTATTGAAACTAATATGGTATAATATAACTATATAATATAAATATAAGACTTTATAATAAATAATTTATATAGTTTCATCAAAAAAAAACTAAAATAGCCACTAAATAAGTTCTGTAAATGATAAATTCAGAAAATTGAAATAAATAAAATGTAAATCAATGGTGTCCGACTTGTTCTTTTTTGTGTAAATTTGTAAACAAGAGTTATGGGATATCTAGCACTGCCAGATTTGTAAGCAATATTAGTTTTATTTTTTTAACAATATTAGTTTTAGTCATTTTGACTGATATATAAAGAATATTTGTTTTGTAAAGATGGTTAGACTGATTTTTAATTAAACATACTTAACTAAGACATACCACAATCCAATTATACAAATCCAATTTGATAAGTCTTTTATTATTAAAGTAAAATACAATTGTTCTGAAGATTTGCATTCTACTTTATGAATCAATACATAATTAAATAAAAATACTGTAAGAGTTAATAATTACTTTCTTTATTCTATTTTATTTATTTTTTCTTGCTACAAGGCTGCAAGCAACCATTAGAGTTAAAAGTTACTGGAAAAGAAAAGATTAAGTTTATAGTGCAAGATTATCGGTTAACAGACGAATTAAAAGATTGCAAATTATATGAATCAGGAAAACAAGTTAAAGGAAACAAGTTAACCGAATTCCAAAAAACTGATATTTAAAAAAAAAAAACTAGACAAATAAGGATTTTATTAAGCACTTAGGAATAGTCTCAGTAAAAGGATGAGACTTAATTGAATGACGAGTAACACAAGAATGGATTTTAGTAGTTGGTACAAGAGACGCTAGCTCTTTAGAACAGTGCCCATTATAGTATTTGTAGAAAAAATAAAGCGAAGCAAAATTATGACAATGTAATAATGGTTAGAGGTTGGTTGCATGTGCAGATCCAACTATGTTTTCAATGAGTTTTTGCACCTTGTCTAAAAGAGAAAAGGCATCATTGGAAGATCTGCCCCAAATATGGTAACAGTTTCCATACAAGGATGGATTTGAGATTTATAAAGAAAAAAAATGAAATCTTAAGTAAGAAAATGGCGAACATAATAAAGAGATGCAATCTTAGCAAATGCTAATTTTGCAACGGATTTGATATATGGTTTCCAAGAAAAATTGGAAGTAAGAGTTAATCCTAGAATATGAAGGGTAGATGATTTATCAAGTACATTACCGTTCTTGAATATAGGAAAATTTAAACTATTGTGATAACAATTGGCTGAAAAAAAATAGATTTTTTCATAGAGTTTATTTAAAGTTCACAAGTCATAATGACCCCAATGCTGTAGCAGAAGTCCCTCCAAGCAGTCAGAAAGTGTTGGCTTCTTATCAAGACAAGAATAATGGTAGTATCACCAGCGAACAATTCCACCTTAGATGTGAGAACATCTGGAAGATCATTAATGCAAATTAAAAAAAGTATAAAGCCAAGGATTGAACCTTGAGGAACCCCTGAAGTTACAGGATATAAAGAATAGTGCTATCCATCAAGGATAACTTTATACTATGATTGGAAAGGAAGGATTCAATAATCTTAAAGATGTTACCTGATAGGCCATAAAAACAGAGCTTATAGAGAAGACCAATTTTATCAGAGGCTTTAGAAATGTCAAGAGTGATAGCCTTAACTTCTCCACATCTATCTAATCCACGATAAAACTCATCAGTTATTGCCATTAACAAATCAGCAGTATAACGAAAAGATCAAAGTTTATATCAATGATCAGAAAGTATGTTATTAGCATTAAAATGAGAGATCAAGTGTTTGTTAATTAAAGACTTAAAAACCTTGCTTATGGTAGTAAGAAGACTACTAGGATTATTAGTTAAGCGAGTCAGGTTTTTTATAAATATATCACTTATTTATTTTGCATGTGAATATACTGCTTTATATAAGGAATATATATACAAATATGCAGGAGGAGACAGTTATAAATGTCACATCAGACTTGCAGAGCTGATGTGTGACTAATGATGAACCAGAAATTAGGAGTTGCTACTGTTTCTCTTTTCTCTCTGAGTCTAAAAAAGTGTTTGATTCATATTGAACTGTTTCTATGAAAATCTTTAATATTCTTTTACACCATTTTTTACACAAGTAGGTCTTTGACATAAGGATCTGTAACTAAATATGAGAATATTTGTGCTATGATACATTAGTTAATTAAAATCATACATTTGCAAAATTAACAAAAATTTGTACAACTGATAGAAATTAAAAAAATAAATAAGCTTAGACCTGTGTACATGTGCTAGAAAGAAATTTTGGAAAGTAGTTATATGGAACAATAATTTTTTGTAAATTAGGGAAACAGGGAAAATCAATTTAGTAGGATTTAAATTTGTTAATATGGTTTTGTGTTTTTTTGAACTTATATGAAAATATGATTAACTTTGAAAACTTAGAAAGTAACTTGTTTTTTAATGATGAAAAAAACTTATATTTACATTTTTTAGAAAGTTTTATATATTATTTTTATATTAAAAAAAAAAAGTGCTTTACAAATCTAAAATATCTAATATCATTGAGTTTAAACATGGACCACCACAGATTTCAATAAAATTCTGTGGGTTTCAATAAAATTCTGTGGGTTTCAATAAAGTTATGTGGGTTTCAATAAAATTCTGTGTTTTATACTAGTGAGAAAAACATTCTTTAGAATTTTAGCATAAAAACTTTAGTAGTATATTCAAAAAAGTTTTGCAGAGTCTAAAGTCATAAAAATATAAAAAAGCAACACGTGAAAACTTTTTTTTTTTGGAATATGTTTATGACTTGTATACTTTTGCTCATGACTTGTGTTTTGTAGTTGCTGATATACATGACTTCCGTGTTTTGTAGCTGCTGATATACCGTTGTATAAAATTCATAACAAAAATGAGATTTTTTTTTATAAGTACAGAGAGTAAAAAGCTCTGTCTAAAACCTCTCTTCACACAGTTCATGTTAAAGTACTGTATAATATTCAGTGATGTACCGATTATTTGGACCTAAATTAGAGCCAAACCTTTATTTTAAAAGATATTAGTAAAGCTCAGTTAAAATAATATACATTTTTTAATTTTTTTAACTTTAAAAATGTATATTAAAGGTTTAAAAAATAAATACAATTTTATTTCAATTTAAAAAAAAAATTCCATGGGCGCAAAAAGCATTTTT